CCCCAAAACCCCAAAACCCCAAAACCCCGAAAAATCAATTGAGAATCATTTGTGAAGAATAATAATTTTAGAATTCATATTAGATCTGTTATGTATTTAGTTGACAAATGGATAGAAATGATTTAGCTAATTATCTTGAAAAGTATTGAGCTATTTAAAAGGGAGAATTACGGTTTGCTGCACCTTATCTTTTTGATACTGATGAATTGGCTAATATTTTTTGTTATTCTGGTAAAAAGGAGTTGTCATTGGAGACAATTGTGGCAAATTCATGGTTTTTCTAGGCTCTTAAGAACTTTAAAATGATTATCTTTATTGCATGAATCGATTTCTGTTAATATTGAGTACCGCATCCATATATAGTCTCTAAGGCTCATCTTTCATTATTATGGGAGATTGTTGATTTGATTATTATTTGTTGAATCGAGAACTTCCAGTTCTGTCAAATGACAAATCAGCTGACTAAAGAAGATTTTACTATTAATCAAGGATGTTTTCTTGAAGTTTTTGTTTATCATATGAACTCAGTGATGGAATGTTCATCTGCACAGCTATATTTCTAGACTATCTGATTCTCTTTCGTGCAGTATTTCGCTTGTAGGGCAATTCTTCGAAACTTTAATCAATTTTTGTAATTATGCTGCTTTCGCCTCTTTTGAGAAGGCTCTCCTTTCGAGGTGTAAATTCCTCATCAATTTAGTTAATTGACTATGACTCAGATTTGTAGAAGTCTTTATCTTTGATAGTAAGATTCCTGGATAAACTTATATACTGAGTTTCCTTTTCAATATTTCCATCATTTTTATGATTGAAGATTTACTAATTATTGCCATTGAGCATCTTTGCAATATTTCGATTCAGAAATTATCTCTTAACAGGACTACTTATGAACTTCGGAATTTATTGTATATTTTGAGAATTGCCAATTATTTTTATGGCTGGTACTAATTGATTTTAACTGGCTGTTGCTTACTGCTAAGCTAACTAGTTTTAATTAGAAGGATTTACCAATGAGTTTGCAAGAATGCTCATACTTCTTTTTTTCTTCTCTTGCTGATTTATTTTCTAAACTCTTTCCTTTAAGTCCTCGAATTCAGTCCTGATAGCGAGTTTATTTCCATCAATAATTCTTTTCCTTTCTAGGTTATGGATATTTTTGCGATAAAAATCAAGATTTTCTTTATCAATAGGTGAACTTTATATTCCAAACATAGCACCTAGTCCTATTATTGATCCTCCAGTTAATTTTTGCTTTGGAAACATTTCAAACAAATCGCTTATAAAGGGTCTCTTACTTTTATTTTTTTCTAGCATTGAAAAAATAAAATCCTTTAATCCTTGAGAGTATCCAACTTGAAACGGTTTAGGATTTTTAAAAAGTATTTGCTTCATCAGATTCTCTATAGAAGTATCTTAAAATGGCAATTCCAAAGTTGTCATATGGTAAATTACTACCCCAAGTGACCATATATCACTTCTATGGTCATATGTCTCATACTTTATAATTTCTGGGGATAAATATAAGGGTGTACCTATCCTCTTAGTCTTGACATATTTGTTATTTGATAAAATCGTAGATTCACTTAAATCTCCAAGCTATATTAAAGTGTAAATTAAAAATTATTTCCAATTGTTTGTAATGATAGACTTAGTCACTTACTTTAACGCATTTATCTTTTGTGATGAGTATATTCATGCATTTAACATCCCTGTGAATTATGTCATTCTTATGGCAGTGGAGTAATGCCAGACACAATTACCAAGCAATCTCCCATATTTCCCTTTCAGAGAAGTACTTACCCTTGTATTTCTAATTTTATATCATAGAATATAGGTCGCCTCTCTCGCCATATTCAAGAATTAAATATAGAAACTGGTTTTCAAAGTTTGAGGCATATCTTTTATTCTAATATATCAAGTTACTTCCATTTTAGAATTGGTGTTTCTATAAAACGATAGTTTCTATTGATATAAATTATTCTACGAACTCATTGACTCGCTAGAAAGTGGTATATTTTGATGCTACTCACTTCTGTTTTGAGGGGTCAATTCAATATCTGAGCCAGTTGACAGACTCTCATGGGTAATGAATGAATCAAAAAGTTTAATGATATGCCTGTGCTTAATGGATTTGAGAATTTCAGCCTCTTAAAGACAGTCTTTTCTCTTTTCCTTGGACAAATTGTTTTAAATCTTAACTTCTTTGACAGCATAAAAATGCTGCATGTCCTCATTTATTTTAGTTGCTTTATAAACTATGCCATTTGAACCTTTACCAAGAACATTTAAAAGTTAGTAATCTTATACTTATCTTGGTAACTATGGATCTTTTCTAAAATTTGATTCCATTATTATAATGCTAAACTATATTAGCATTTCTAAATTCACATGTAATTTTATACTATGATAATTTTCTTCAAATATTTCCTTTGCGGGGTTTTGGGGTTTTGGGGTTTTGGGG